ATCACCTTCGATTTGCTTTGGTCTTCCGATTGAAATGTACGTGCGAGTGATAGATGTTGTCGATGTCGAGATCGAAACCACATATCATAAATGTAGTACAACCGTTTGGGTCCGAGAGGGTGTGGATAAGTTAGTCCCCCACCGTTACGAGGCGTGGTTCATGTGGTTCGACAGAGGCCTTTTGGGATCCCTTGTTGATTTTGGTGGGCCACCCGGGGCTGCTAGTGATGGCGCGCCCAACGGGAGTGCGAGACAGCCGTAAGCTAGTTGGTGAAGCTTGAGAAGAAGCTAACTTTTGTTTTTGTGAAAGGACGGTGGTAGTGAAGCTAGGATAACCCAGCCATGCAGATAGTATGTGAGCGGATAGTATGTGAAGAACCGAACGAGATTCAGATGTAAATAAATAACCAAGATGGCCCGTGTAAAGAAGGGCTTGTAACATAATCGTCTATCGTGTAAATTATGTGTGCTTGTTTGATAAGCTTCTTTGCTCATGTTGTGTTCTCGTTATTGTTGTTAGTTGCTTCCGCTTGAGCTTAATTAAGGAAAACAATAACGGGACGTCACGTTACAAATCCTCGAAATAATAAAGGCAATCACGACCGAGCCTAGGACCGAACACTACGGCCTTGGTTCGGGGCGTGACACAGGCACACTGACTGGCACACGGTCGGGCATGGGGCCGGCTCGTGGCTTGATTGACGGGCTCACGGCTGGTCCATGGCCGGGCACAAGGCTTGGCTTGCACGTCTGGCACAAAGCCTGGTCTGCGACCAAGCCACAAAGCTCTTGGCCTGGCACATGGCCTGTCCATGGCCTACCCAACTCAACATAAAGATCCATGGTCGATTCGTGATCGGTCTATGTTTGAGCATCAACGATCCATGGTCGACTCTCAATTGTCATGTAGCTGCGTGGAATCAAGTACCACGGAATTGGTGCATGGACGCCCGTAACCAGTGCATGGCCGTATGAAATCACCCGCGACCGACACATACTCGCTCGGCATCGATCCATGGCTAGGGGTGAGCGGTTCCCGGTCCGATCCGGTTCCAAGGTGGAATCGGGAACCGGACAGAGAGAATCGGTTCCCAATTTTGGGAACCGCGGACCGGACCGATTGGATCTAGGACCGGGAACCGGACCTGACCGTCGGTCCGGTCCGGTTTCGGTCCGGTCCAATGGAATCGGTTACTTAGAGTTTGGGATTTTTTTTTTGTCAAACACTTAAGGTTTGGTTCACATTTTACTAATTTTTGTCAATGAAATTCACTTAGGATTTAATTCACATTTTACTAATTTTCATCAATGAATTTATGATAATGAAGTTCACTTAGAGTTTAATTCACATTTTATTAATTTTTTTAAAGAAAAAAATAACAAAAAAAATATTAAATAGTCGGTCCGGTCCGGTTCGGTTCCCCCTTGGAACCGGACCGCCCTGAAACCGGTTCCGCTTTTAGGAACCAGGAACCGGACCGATAGTCCCGAGAACCGGACCAAACCTGTCGATCCGGTCCGGTCCGGTCCGGTCCCGGTTTGGGCGGTCCAAGTTGGTCACCCCTATCCATGGCCATCTGGGATCGTTCCACTATTGACCTTTATGGTTGAATGGTCAATTTATGGTCGAATCACTCTAATTAACTTGCGTGATTGCAAAGTCATTTCATTGTCGATTCCTTGGCCGATCCATGGACAATCCTTCGATCGAACCATGACTGATCCTTTAAATACCCATTCCGACCATACCAGCTAATCCATGATCGACCTTCAGATCGATCTGCTCGCCAATTCCATGGCCATTTTCCTTTGGTCGACTTAGTCCCAATTGGGGATGTCACAGTTTTGCTTTATCCATGGTTGGGAAGATTATGTCGGAATATTATTGTGGAGTTGCTAAAGATGCAAGTGAAGTTGGTATTCTGATGATGCCCTTAATTATGGCGAAATTCAAGCACGACTTGGACTTGGAAGATGTTTTGTGCTGATTGAACCCATGTGGGCTATGAGAGTAGTAGTGAAGTTCAAATTCCAGTGAAGCGATTGTAATTTGGTTCAAATGTCGAGTTAAGGTGGAGATTGTTGAGAATGTGTTTCAAGTTTTAGTCCAAAAAAGAAACTTTCCTAATTTAAATATGTTCCCTAGAGACAACTTCTTCATGAGTTACCCTCTGAAGTAATCCGAGAGTATTGAAGCCAATTAAATCTTATTGTAAGATTTGTTAATTCTTTTGTGAGATTGAGATATTATTTCATAAGAAATTGAGAGGCTAAACACCGTGTAAGTTATTGGATGCAATGGGGGGTGGGAGACAATGATAGTGTTTGAGATTAGAATGTGGTTGTGATCTCCATTGTATTAATTGATCTATAGTAGAATCTTATACTACTCTCCCTGTTGACGTAGGATCATGTAAATCTAGTGTTCGCTTTATCTTCTTATTCTACATATTCTACTGTTCAATTATGGTGAATAGTTATCATCTTGCAAATTTCCGATAACCAGAGTGAATTAGTAGATTAGTGGAGACAAAAACAGCGGACGGTTGTCATTTTTCAATTAGTGGTTAAGTGGCATGCAGTTCTGTAGCCGTTCTGATCTTTTTGCTGGCGATAAAGAGTTAATTTACGATAAAGGATTTCAACAGTATAATAAAGAATAGAAAAATCAACGATATGTCCGTAATTATGGAGGCAGCTATTAAATCCAAAAGTTTGCTTTATGAAAAGTATGTATCTTCTTTTATCAAATTTATCGATGGGACTTTCTTATAAGTTGAATTTAAATTTTCCGTGGAAACAAGATATTATATTAGTTTATAAGAATTGATAAAAAAAATAATCAATATCACGAAAAACCCTAAATCGGTATACTCGTGATAAATTTACCCATAACTTTTTTGCCACAAAAAATTTCAAACCGGTACACTTGTGATAAATTTACCACAAATTAATTTTTTGACCACCAAACACCCCAAACTGATACATTTGTGATAAATTTACCATCCATTAAGTTGGATTAATACCATGAAAAATCACAAACTGTTACACCTATGACATAAGGAGGGTAAAACCGTAAATCGATGCACCTCTCAACTGTCACGTGTCATCCAACTCAGAAATTTGACAGTAAAATTTAACGAAAATTGAAAGAGGGTAAATTTATCACCGCTGTACCAGTTTGGAGTTTTTGGTGGTCAAAAAATAAGTTTTGGGTAAATTTATCACAAGTGTACTGATTTGGGGTTTTTCGTGGTATAAATCTTAAAAAAAATCTTCAAATTTTTTTTTTTTGGGGTCAAGACTCTTTCTTCATTTAAGAGCAAAATCCACCTGAAGTTGAAGATAAGCAATAGAGAAAACATCTCTAAATAATAGCAAAACAATAACAACCGAAGAAATTCATTTAAAACCACCATCCAACCGTCTGTCCTGCAAATGCAACCACCGTCTGACCAACCTTTGGTTTTTGCTTCAACGGAAAGCTAATTTCGCTTCCCAATCATTTTATTTGTTTTGGTAGATGGGATGTTGGACCAAACCGTACGGGGAGCCACCCAACAAATTGACAATTGACTCAAAATCGTGGAGTCGTCGCTCCCATGGACAATGCTTCTCGAAGCCAACAAAACGTTTTCTTCAATTTCTTCATGGAAAAAAAAGGGTTGGAGCGGCCCGCTGCAGCTACCTCTAAAGCGTTATCTCGAGGTTCTCGCACTCGTTACGGAATATTCGATTAGCCCGTCGCTACAACTCCCTCGATTTGCTAGCTCGAATCTCTTGACATGAGGGAGTAAATGCGAGAGACAAAAAAGCTGACGAGAGATTGGCCCACGATATGATTTGAACTTATGATCTCGTGAAAAATAGTGTGACCCTTTTATTATTGAGCCGCATGCTCAATTGCACTGTGAATAGGGTTCTGCGGGCACTAGCTAACCATGCTCAAGAAGAAAATGCTTTACTTCTCGATCCATTAGTATCACATATTAAGAGTTACTTTGACTATTTAACAAGTGTTTTGAATGCACTTTTCGGAAAAAAATTCTCGACATGAAAAACAAATACATAAGTGTGAGAAGCCAATTCATGTAAGTTTCCACTCAAATTTAAAATTTGACATTGGGTTAATATGATGAGTACATTGGAAAAAAAATTGGGGCATTTTCCTTCTATAAGACGAAGACCCAGCTTTACATTCTTAGCCAAGTTTATCGTATTAAGTAAAACAGGAACTTCAAATTGATTAAGTTATTAAGAAAACCCAAACAGCAAAGACATGAATTGGAAGGGTGCATTTGTTTCACGGAAAATATTTTCCTAAAAGTGATCACTTGTATTGTTTACCAAAATAAATAAACGAAAAAATATTTTCATCATCCAATGAGATATTTAAACATAAATTGTTGTTGATGTTTCAATCAAATGGTATAATAAGTATTGATGCTTAAACCAAACGGCATAATAATATTGATCAGGCATATTACGAGAGCCAATAATGTACTAAAAAATTAAAATTTTTTTTCAGAGTACTCGACAGTCGACACGCCAGAAAAAAATAATTCGAGTTCACTCAATTGAAGAGGCGCATCAACCACATTCAATTTTCCCCCCTTCTTTATTTGCCAACAATCGAAAAAGAGAACCCCCACTTACAAGTTCCTCATGGTGCATTGAAGTTCCCTCGGAATTATCAGTCACAAATCCTTGGAAAATAACCCTTCTTGTTGATACATAGTTTCCACATGTTGGAATTGGGTTTGATGCCATTGGAAAAAAAATTGAAAATATTCCCCTTTTTGACCAGTACACGCACGCTCAGAAAAAGATGAAAGTATTGCCCCTTTCACTTTCCAATAGGGAAAAAAAACTATTCAAAAGGACAAATTTTTTTTAAAATTTTTTTTCTTTTCTTTCCCTTTTTGTTAAAAATAAAAAATGAAAAGACCACCGGATCCAACCACCCACCCACCACCACCTCATGGTCCTGTCTTTCCAACCATCCTTCGGTCTGCAAGCAACACCAGCAGAGGCACGAGCCCCCCCCTCCTACATCCATGGAGCCGCCACCGCCGCCGCCCCAACCACCGCCACCGCCACCGCCCTCCTCCGCCTCGACCCAGGTCCTCTCCGCCATGGACCTCCACGCGCCGCCGCTCCTCGACGAGAGCGCCGCCGCCGCCGTTGACTCCGTCTGGGACTTCGGCGACCTCCTCGACTTCACCGTGGACGACCACCTGATCATCCCGTGGGACGAGGAGCCCCCCGCCCTCGACAACCCCGCCTCCGCCCCCTCCGACCCAGATCCCGACCCCGCCCCGGAGGACCCGGCCGACGGTGCCCCGGCGTCGACCCGGGTCAGGAAGCGGGACCCCCGGCTGGTCTGCTCCAACTTCCTGGCGGGGTTCGTCCCGTGCGCCTGCCCGGAGCTCGACGAGAAGATGGAGGAGGAGGCGGAGGGACTGCCCACGAGGAAGCGGGCCCGGGCGCCGAGGGGGGCCGGCCAGGGGATGGCCCGGTGCCAGGTCCCGAGCTGCAAGGCCGACATCCGGGAGCTCAAGGGGTACCACCGGCGGCACCGGGTTTGCCTCCGGTGCGCCAACGCGTCGGCCGTGGTCTTGGACGGGGAGAGGAAGAGATACTGCCAGCAGTGTGGCAAGTAAGCTTTAATTCGCAGTTGGTGTGGGGTTTCGAGTTTTAGCTTTTCGAATGATGATTTGTGATTGTTGTACTACTAGGTTTCCAGAGCTGTTTGTCTTTGAATATGAGATGATTATAGCGTTGGTCTGCGCCGAAGTGAAGATAAGTGGTAGTTAGGTGTTTGTGCTCAATTGGAGACTGGTTGAATTGTCGTTGCTAGTAACTCCGCTATTTAACTTCTAATTCTGAGATCCATTCAAGATGTAAGTGATGTGAATTCAGTCATATCATTGTGATCCATGTTGGATGTTGGCCACTAGGCAATGAGGATGGTGTTGCCGGAGTCAGTTTGGCATTGTTGTGGCATTAGCGGGTTTTGTCATGTGGCATAGTGATATACCCTGCGTTGGCTGAAGGGTACTGCTATCCAGTATTCCGGGAGCTGCTTCTTGTTCTTGGCTCCTAGCTCGACTAGCTCATCATTATCTCTGTTTTCATGAATCGGGGGGCAGTTGCTGCTGCTTGGCGAATTTCGATATTCAGCACAGATAGCGACTTAGGCGCGGAGATAATCTTCTGGGATTGCTATAATGACTACAAGCTGTTGCTTGGTGTGTTTCAGGATTGGTGTTGTCGGGGAGTTCTGAAAAACATTAATATGCAGTTTATTCGTTCTATTGAGGATAATTAGCGTCTTTCTATTTTTAGGGGATGATGTGTAAATGACCATGTAAAGGTGATATCAAGGTGGAGAAACTTCGAAATGACAAAAGTTTGAGAAGCTAGGTGGATGCTTCCAGTGGCCAAGTGTTTTGTTGGAGTAACGGTAGCTTTTCTGAAGTGGACCCCTTACTCCAAAAAGAATGCCAGATCGGTTTTTATTACATTTGTTTGTGGTGCAAGCTTGTTTTTAGATAGCTGTGATGGCATTTGTAATATATCAGGCATCTTAATATCCCACTTAGATCCTAGTTTCCTGATTGCCTTATGCCATTTCTAGGTTCTTTTGGAGTTAATATTGTTCTGTTCAGTTCCCATATTGCTGGAATTCTTGTGGCAACAGCTTCTTCTTTTCTCAATCCGCTTTTGGACTATTATCTTCTAATTGACCTAATTTGGTCAGTTGATGACACGTATTTCTATGGTATTGTAGTGAATTAGGTTGAGTTTTCTGTTGCTTTTCATTTACTTAAAGCCAATTTCTTATTAGAAGCCATTTCGCCTTTTCTATACATGGCTATGTATGCAGTTTAACTTGGATAAACTCATTGTGGAAGTATCTGATAACTGGATGAGTTAAGGAAATTTGCTAGAGTATCATGTGGCCAAGTGTTATTTCATGAGCTCAATCAACAAAGTTTTTTTTTTTTTTGGTTGATAATCGACAAAGTTGAAGAGGCACTGTTTTTTACCTCTCTTTGAGGGGGCAGATGATCTTATGCTGCAATAAGAAAGCATACAACTAGTGTTTATATTTTCTGCAAGCAATTCTGGAACGTTATATATTACATCCTTATACCCAAAGAAGTAATTGATACACTGAAACTGATATTGCATGCCTTTTTTGTTGTCATAATATTCAGTTTTTTGATATGGTTTCTGGATTTAAATTGCCACCTTCTGCTGTTCTCTGGTATAAATTACTGAAGATATTAAGCAGGAAACTTGGAGGAAAGTTTGAGTTTCTGTCTGGGAGTTTTCTGATCATTGGACTTTTGTCCGGTGTGTTCTTGTCTAAATGAGGAACAATAAGTAGTTGTTGACACCTTCGGCGAAAACAGTAGTATTATGGGATTATATAATCGTTAATTGCCTCATAATGTGGTTTCCTTTTACAGGTTTCACATCTTGTCAGACTTTGATGAAGGTAAACGAAGTTGTCGAAGAAAATTAGAGCGCCATAACAAAAGAAGGAGAAGAAAGACCATTGATTCTGGTGGTGGACTAGCAAAGGAATTTCAACAAGATATTCATTCTGAAGATGTTGGCTGTGATGATGAAGATGGGAAAGGTACAGACAAGAACAGTTAACATAATTTATTTCTTGATTAAGTTTGTCAACTAGCTAATCCGATTGCTCATGTAATTTAACAGATAACTTATGTTTGAGTGGCCAGTCTGGTGAAATGGAAGCCTTGTTAGAGCCTGAAGATGGAGGAGTACCTACACTAGAAACTGCTCCTGAATGTCAGATAATTCCTACAGATAGTATTGCATCTTTTGTAGTTTCTCGTGACGCGCAAATGGAAAGTAGGAAAGATAATTCGAAACAGGCACTTTCTCCATCCTGTGGTGACAATAGGAGTGCATACTCATCTGTGGTGGGTTTAACCTGGACGGTGTACTTGCTTCGTATTGTTAATATCTATGTGTTTGGAATCTTAGTTGAGTTAATACTAATTCATTGAAGTTTTTAATTAGTGTCCAACAGGTCGAATTTCATTCAAGCTTTATGATTGGAATCCAGCAGAATTTCCTAGACGTCTCCGTCACCAAGTAATCTATACTTGTACTTAACTATCTTAAATCAGATGACATCTTCTTAGCACCGGCAGAATTGAATGGCTTACATTTGGTTGAATGCATATTCAGATATTCCAGTGGTTGGCGAGCATGCCAGTGGAGTTGGAGGGTTATATCCGCCCTGGATGTATTATTTTGACAATGTTTATCGCCATGCCCAAGTTTATGTGGGGAAAGGTACTATTTACCAAATAGGAAATCTGTATGGTGATAATTATTTGTCTGAACTACTTTAATTTTGGCTTTAGTAGAGCAGCAACCATTGTTTGCTTAAGCCCTACGATCAGTGGCTTTGGATTTTTTTTTTTAATTCTGGGCCAAGAATATATGGATTTTCTGTGAAGTTTTACTGAGCATTACAATCGCGATTTCTGTAACATCTCTTTCTCATCAAATTAATATTATTTGTTTTGGCTCTGGAAATAGTGCAGTAGTTATAATTTGGCTCCTTCTCTTCATTACAAGTTCTTGCACTTTGTTATGTATCAGTTAGATTGTTACAGGGGTTTTACTGATCTCTAGAAGTTCTTGAGCTTGATTTAGTCGGATTGCTCCTTCAGCTTCTGCTTAGTTTCTTCCTTTGCTCATATTTACTTGTGTGTGGTTTCTTGACTTATACATCTTGTGGCATCGAGCAGTTATATGAAGATCCTGTATCATATATAAATGACTTTGTCCTTCGACCTGGAAGAATGCTGTCCAGAAGAGGCACTGTCTATATCTTTATAAATGACATGGTTTTCCATCTTATGAAAGGTAAATTAATTCCCTTCAGCCCTCATTAGCAAGCCTGCTTTGTGGACCTTCGATATTCCCTCAATACTTTGACTGTTAATCTTATTCGGCTTGGAATGCATGTATTACCTTTCATAGGGCTTTCATCTAGTTTTCTGGTCTGAGTGTTCAGTGGTGGGTGCAGTTTGTAAACAGAAGTTCCCTCTCTGCTTAAGGCTGCTTACATAGAAAAAGGCATACTCTGTTTCTGTAGATTGCTTTACTTACATTGAAGCTGAACAAGGACCAAGAATTGATCATTTCTAGCTGAGTGATAGTTTTTGCTGTCAGCACAAATGTTATTATTGCACCAACTGGTCTATCTATATATCAGAGATAACTAAAAAAACCCTTGTGTAACAGTTTGTCACTAAGCATAAAATTGATACTCGGGATCCTTATAAATGCTATTATTTTGGAGATATTCTTCAACAACATTAATTCAACGACAGCATCCTGCATATGGATCTGATTTTCATAGCAGCATGGGATAGTTTATGTGCTTTTTAGTGAGCAAGCATGCAAGTCAAATACCTCAATCAGTTGGTTCTTTATTAGTGGCTGGCGTCTGTTTCCCTTATTATAAGAGCTCTATTGAATCCTTGAGCATCTCAGCTTTACTGTTATATTGGAAAATTAAATATCGGCATTCATGGTGGTCCATGATGAAAATGTGTTCTCTGTATTCAAGCTTCCATGCGTTCTCTTGCTGTAGACCATGTATAGATTCATTTCTATCGTCTGTGTGACTTATTATTTGATTTACAGAAGCTCTTACAGACTTTCTAGAGTTGGGTCTCGTCCTCGGGTCCTTATAGTTAATTTCTGTTGTCTGTAGATGGAACTTCTGTCGTGAAGGTTGAGGCAGGGGTTCGGACCCCAAGGCTTCATTATGTCCATCCTATGTGTTTTGAGGCTGGCAAGCCCATGGAGTTTGTTGTTTGTGGAAGTGATTTGCTGCAACCCCAGTTTCGGTATGGTGGAGTATCTTAATAGAATTACTTTTGTTCCACATTAAAGAAGTACGCGTTAGAGAGAGAGAGTCATAGAAGTACCCTTCATTTTTCTCACCTTCTCATTCTTCTATAGTCTGCTAGATTCTTGAGTCCTGGAGTCCATTACAAAGTGCAACTTTGAGTATCTTTTCCCCGTTAAATTGGAGAGCCTCAGCATCTATGACTTATATTAACTGAAGTGCCGTAACAGTGTAACTAAATTTTATCAATGAAATATATTTTTACGAGAGAGATTCTTGTGCTGCAGGTTTCTCATATCTTTTGCTGGAAAATATTTGGCATGTGATTATGGTGCTGCATCTTCATATTCTGGAAGTGAAAGGGGCATCAACTGCACTGCTGGTCATCAGCTGTATAATATACGTATTCCAAGTACTGAGCTCAATCAGTGTGGTCCTGCATTTATTGAGGTCTGTACCGGCATTTATAGAAGAATTTGCTTCGTCTCAGAACCTTTGATGAACTGAAGAGATGCTGATACCAACTTTCCAGCATTATGATGGTGGCTAACAAATATTAGCTTTGACCACTTTCTTGTATGTTTGTGTCTTCCACAGGTTGAGAACCAGTCTGGCTTGTCGAACTTCATTCCCATTCTCGTTGGTAACAAGGAAGTTTGTTCTGAGATGACGATGATACAGCAGAGAGTAGATAAATCTCTCTTAAATGAGGGGCTGCAAATTTCGGACATTGGTTACGTCGTGGATTCACGTGAGGCTTGCTCACGGAGTCGAACCGCACTTTCTGAGTTCATCTTGGATATCGCATGGCTGCTGAAAGAACCTGCTTCTGAAAATCTTCACCGCATTCTTCCTGTGTCGCAGATTCAAAGATTCAACTCTTTGTTGAGCTTTTTAATGCAACATGATTCAAGTATTGTTTTGGATAAAATATTGCAAAGACTGGACGTTCTTATGGAGTATATTGAATTAACCAGTGAAATTAGTAGTGGCAAGAATGATGCTGATATTAGATTATTGAATACCCAAATAGATCAGGCAAGAGAATTTCTCAGGAAACATCAGTCATCCAAGAGGGTGGTGCTGCATTCAGAGCACTCAAGGCAAAAAGAGGAATGTTCTCATCAAGGTTTCCCTCAGAATGATGTGCTTTCGGCCGTGACCATTTCTAATCAGGTGAGGCTTCTTTCACTCTACAAGCCAGAGTCTTTCCTTTAAGGAAAAACACCACCAAAAATCCCAAACTATGCCATTTGTGACAAATTTACCCTGAACTTTTTTTTGTGACACGAAAAACCTCAAACTATATCACTTGTGACACATTTACCCCACAATACATTTGTCCATGGGCATTTTCATCTTTTTCTTTTTTTTCTGTTTTTTTTTTCCTTTTTTTTTCTTTCTTCTCTTCCACGGCGGAGGGAAGCCGGCGAGGGTCCGGCCAGGGCGACCCTTGTCGGCGTCGGCGAGGGCGACCCTTGCCCGACTCCGGCGAGGGCCGCCCTAGCCCGACTCCGGCGAGGGTCGCCCGAGTTGGGCGACGGTCGCCCTCGCCGGTTGGCGGAGGGGAAGAGAGAAGAAAAAAAAAAGGAAAAAAAAACAGAAAAAAGAAAGACGAAAATGCCCATGGACAAATGTATTGTGGGGTAAATGTGTTACAAGTGGCATGGTTTGGGGTTTTTCGTGTAAAGAAAAAAAGTTTGGGATAAATTTCTCACAAGTGGCATAGTTTGGGGTTTTTGGTGGGTTTTTCCCTTCCTTTTAGGATTCTGTGTGGTCTCTTGCGGTTTGGCATTGTGTGGGCTTTTAATTTCCTGCCATGTGGCAACTTGTGATAGTGTGTCTTGTGGCATAGTTCTGCTAGTTTGTTGCCAACCGTGGAGGTACTTCTAGTGGACCTATAAAAAAACGTCGCCATGGTTTCAATCATATTTCTGCCCTTGGAGATCGATTTCACAATATTTGCTTTGGTTATAGTACCGAACCTTCACATGAGAATACCTACGCCATATATTACCTCATTCTCTGTCAGTTTAATCTTTTGCACTTGTCAATTGCATGCTTTAATATGAGGAGTCTAATTTTTTTACCAATTCATACAACCCTGTTGATGCTATTCTGATTTTGCAGGATATGGAGAGGGGAGAGAGCTGCAGGGTAGAAGTAATGATGGGTTCCAATTACACAAACAGCGAGGCCGCTCCACTTTTGGATGTGGAGTTGGTCATGAATGGTAACCTTTTCAAGGGAAAGCCTCGCAGTCGGGTCCTCCTCAACTCCTTTTTGAGATCTCGTCCTGCTCTATACTTAGTCGCAACTGCCGCTGTTTGTTTCGGAGTATGTGCCGTCCTCCTCCATCCTGATAAGGTTGGTGAGTTTGCGGTTTCTATTCACAGAAGCCTCTTTGACCGACCATAAGGAAATTGCTCAAGATCTCGATCTCCCTGTATGTACAGAATGTACTTGATGAACCTGATGTTATCTTATCGGATCAAGCTACCAGTCTTTTTTCACGATTGGGAGCTTTGATAGCGGGGGTAGCTCAGCTTCAGTTTTCCATCGGGTGCATTTTGGATGATAGATGCAATGAAGGTCATAGCTCGGTGGAAACTGTATCTCGGCAGGGACTCACCTGATTAGCAAATATTGGGAACCCCCTACTTTGTGCTCAGCGGATATTGCTCGGCTGTTCGTTGCGACAATTGAGAGATTTAACTCCATTTAATAACTTAAGTAGAAGTTCAACCATGCATCGGCGGCTATCAGGGTCGAAATTGTGCGGTCTTTGTATCTTATTCCTTTGCTTCCATTGTTGTAAGCGAGATGAACTTCTCCATAAACACACGGACGCTATGCTGCTGACATTCCGGCTTCAAGAGGAATCGGGAACTGGATGTGGATTTGTACTTCTGAAGTGGGAGTAGTGTTTACTGGGGATTTGCCTTCTCCCCTGTACTGGTAATACAAAAGGAAGCGAGGTTTTGGGTTAACGTATGTGCTCATTGTTGATACAGCCTTTCACTTACAAGGAGGAAAGACATCAAAATGTGACATAGTTTCTTACTTCTTTTGATGTGTAATTTCTTATGTTACTTCTCCTGTCCTTGAAATGGCCTGAACCAGAGTAGTTCTCTGGGTTTCCACAAAATGCTTCGAATTTCAAAATTGGGTTTTGCCTTTTATTATCTTTTCTCTTTTATGACGGGGATGTTCGCTTTGGTTAACACGCGTCCACGGAATATCTATTCCATGGACATGTGAGAGACGCGAGTCAAAACCCGGTGAATGGTTTGGGTTGGGCATGGAATTTGTGTACGGTGTTGGCTTAAGGGACCTTGGTCTCTTGCTATTTTAGTACGTTACTGACTGTTCAATCTCTCTAAGCCCTCGCCCTGCGGAAGAGTTTCGTGCTGCGGTCCCAAATACCAAAGAGTTTAACAAAGTAGAGTGGTGATTTATCGATGGGGTGGATGCCGCCGGGAAAAGGCCTTTTGAAGATGAATGTTGACGGATCGTGGATTGACAGCTCCTCGAAGGCTTCAATCTCTGGAATCTGTCGAGACACTCATGGAGTGCCGATTACTGGGTTCACGAAGAAAATTCGGGCTGATTTGGCCGAGTTAGCTGAAACCCTAGCTTTGCGAGAAGCACTTCGGTTTTTTACTGAAGAATGGAAGCTAGGTGCACGTTCGGTTCTGAACGAAAGGGGAAGTGATTGGCGGGGAGATACTCTTGATCTGCAAGTGGTCCTACAAAGTGATAGCTTATCGACAGTTGACTTTGTATTAGGCCAATGCCAAAGCCCATGGACTACTGGTCTCTTAATTAGTGAATGTAGGGGCCTCTTGGTCCTTCTCAAAGGAGTTGTTGCGGAATTTTGTCCAAGAGAAGCTAATCATTGTGCCGATTGGATTGCCAAAGCTCATAGAATAGGGTCCCTCCCTATTAATTGGCTCTCTAAACCCCCCAACCCCTTTGGGATTTATTATGTTTAGATGCCCAACTATGTTGTTTTTCAAGTTCTACTACTTAATGAGAATGTTTCGCTTTCGACCAAAAAAAAAAAATTCTCTCTATTTTCCCAAAATGTTCGAATTGGAACCCGTTATTCCGCATTATTGAAGTCAACATAACGTCCTACCTAGAAAGACGTTTTGATGCCATAAAAGGTGAATTTGAAATGAGAAACATTACAATGGCACTTCCATTCCATCTCATGGAATGAAGGGCAAATGTAACAAAAAAAATCTCAAATTTGTATTGCTCCATGGAAGCCCCCAAAGTCGTACCACTGTCCTAATTTTACCCTCGGTTTCGTTTCCATCTGAATAGGTCATTAAAGATTGTATGTCTCATCCTATATGGACGACCACGCTCGACGGATCCGAAGTGTATCAATAGCGCCCCGAGGATTTTTTTTTTCCGAAGGATGCCGTTTTAGCTCACTTATTGAAGAGGAAAAAAAAGGCGTCCTATCACATGGCTCATCTTGAGGCAAAATTAGGGCGAAGATAGGGTTCTTGTGCAATTGCGAAAAATGCTTGACACGCAAAAAGCTAATAAAAAAGGGTTGGTAATTCAATTAGCAAAAACAGTTGACATTTTGGTATAATAGTTGACATTTTCATATAATAGTTGACCAGCTAACTATAGCGCAAATGATAACCATTCTATTTTCTGTTTTTCAATTTTTGTGTTCTCGGGAATAGGTCTGGAACAGAAATCCATTTTGTAACGCAACTTCATTTTTTTTATTTTTGGGACAAATTTTTAGCTAAGAAATAGATTTGGAACGGAAATAAAAAGTAGATTTTTTTTTTTACTTTTCTCTTTCTGGAACAAAAGTAGAAATAACAACTTTCTTATTGCTCGCCCTTGCCGCCCGCTGGCCGCCCCCCGCCATTGCTCGTTGACAGCCGCTGCTGCCCACCGCCATTGCCCGACGGCCCCCATCGCCACTAGCTGCCGCCCCTGATCGCGGTTGCCCGCCTCCGCTTGCCGTCACCTGCTGGTCGATGGCACCGCCCACCGCCGGGAACATAAATTTAAGAATAACCTATGAAATGAATTTCTATTTCGAGAACAGAAATTTTGTGTCGTTATCAAACGCTACTTTTTGCTTAGAAACTTGTCCAGGAAATAGAAATAGATTTTTCTATTTTTAGCCAGAAATAGGGCTGGCGAAGACAACCATTCTGTTCCAGAAAAAATTCCTGAAATAGAAATAGATTTTTCTATTTCTATTTTCAGGATGAGTTTCCGAGAAAAAAAATCCGTTTGATAACGACCAAAAATTTCTATTTCTAGAACAGAAACACGTTTGATAACAGCATAAAATTTCTATTTCCTGAAACAAAAACCCGTTTGATAACAACACAAATTTTTATTTCCCAGAACAGAAATCCATTTTTTTTAGAAATGGAATAAAAAATTAGAAAATCCGGACAATTCCTAAAAAAACTCAAAAAAATCAGAAAATCCATAAAAATTGAAAATTTCCAGAAAAATTCATAAAAATTTGTAGAAAATAAAAAACAGTCAGATTTCGAGAAAATAGGAAATTTGTTGAATTTTTTTAAAAAAATCAAAAAATTCAAAACTTCACAGAATGGCTTAGAATACCTATGGCCACTCACTTTGAATAAAATTTAATTTTTTTGAGGTGCCCAAAAAAATTCAAAAAATAAAAAATTTCAAAACTTCATGGAATGGTGCCCAAAAATTTTAATTTTTGTGTACAGTGGGTGGCCATAAATATTCTAAGCCATTATATGAAGTTTTGAAATTTTTTATTTTTTGATTTTTTTGGGCAACTCAAAAAATTTAAATTTCACTCAAAGTGGGTGGCCACGGGTATTCTAAGCCATTTTGTGAAGTTTTTAAATTTTTTATTTTTTTATTTTTTCATTTTTTTGGCCACCTAAAAAAATTTAAATTTCATTCAAAGTGGGTGGCCACATGTATTTTAGGCCATTCTATGAAGTTTTGAAATTTTTATTTTTTGATTTCTTTGGGCACCTCAAAAAATTTAAATTTCACTCAAAGTGGATGGCCACGGGTATTCTAAGCCATTTTGTGAAGTTTTAAAATTTTTTATTTTTTATTTTTTCATTTTTTTGGGCACCTAAAAATATTTAAATTTTACTCAAAGTGGGTGGCCACATGTATTTTAGGCCATTCTGTGAAATTTTGAAATTTTTTATTTTTTGAAATTTTTTATTTTTTGATTTTTTTGGGCATCTCAAAAAATTTAAATTTCACTCAAAGTGGGTGACAACAGGTATTCTAAGCCATTCTGTGAAGTTTTGAAATTTTTTATTTTTTGGTTTTTTTTTGAAAATATTCACCAAATTTCTTATTTTCCTGAAATCTGACTTTTTTTTTAATTTTCTGGACATTTTTACGAATATTTCTGGAATTTTTCAATTTTTATGGATTTTCTGAAAAAAATTGAGATTTTTAGAAATTTTCCGGATTTTATAAAATTTTTTAATGAATTTTCTGAATTTTCTAATTTTTTTTTATAATTTTTTTTATTTTCTCGCCGGGAATGAACCGGACCGAACCGGTTCGAATCGGTTTGACCAGGTCAGATCGCGGACAAATTTAGGAAGAGATGTGTTTTGAAGAGAGAAAACATGTTCTTTTAGAAATGGTTTTCATTTCTTGTCTGAAAACAGAAAACCAATTTTTTTTTTTTCTGAATTTTGGTCCAAAATCTGTTCTGGAACAAAAAGTTGTTCCAGAAATAGAAAAATGGAATTGCGTTACCAAAATGGATTGCTCTAAATCATTTTAACGTAAAACTGGTTCTCGATGTAAACAAAATGGTTATCATTCGCGCTCTAGTGCCCATTGATAAGCGAATGGTTTGCGGGAACCCTAAGAGGAGGAGCTTTTTCTTTTAATTTCTTTCAAAATCCCTCACCTTTCGATTGTTGCCGCCGTTGCCACTCGGTTGCACGTTGCAGCTTGGTTGCATGCCGCCAGCGCCCACCGGTCCTCGCTCAGGCAACACTTTCTTTTATTTTAATTTTGTTCATAGCGTGGGTTGGAAAAGAGAAGACCAATTTTGGGAATTTTAAATTTAGAGTTTTGGCTATTTTCTTATCCAAAATTTTTTTGGACAAAATGCCCATGTCCCACCGGTTGGAAAAATCACATGCTCGCCGATCGGTTAACATCGTGCGAGCTCAAACCATTATTTGAGACTGACTTGTCACTCTAGGTATTTATTTAAAATAAGATCCATTTTGAACAATCCTTTAAGAAAATAATCACACTTCATGCTCTCATTTGGAATTTTTCCCAAACTTTATCTCTCTTTTGGACACAAACCGTAAAGTAAGCTAGAAACTCGAACCAGCAAAGCCTCTTTTCAACTTTTTCTTTTTGTGTGTTTTTAGGCCTTATTTTTTTGAGTTAATACCACGAAAAACCTTAAACTAGTACATCTGTGATAAATTTATCCCAAACTATTTTTTTGATCACAAATTCCAAACCAGTACATCTGTGACAATTTTACCCCGAATTTTTTTTTGACCATAAAAAACCCTACACTGGTATACCTGTGATAATTTTACCTCCAAACGAATTTTTTGACTACCAAAAATCTAAAACTGGTATATCTGTGACAAATTTACCCTTCGTTAGTTTTCGTTAAATTTTATTATCAAATTGCTAAGTTTAATGACACGGGGTAATTGACAGGTGTACCAGTTTTGGGTTTTACCCATTTGTTTGTTACAAGTTACAAATTTGTGATTTTTTGTGATATTAATCCAATTTAACGGATACTAACGGAGGGTAAATTTGTCACAGGTGTACCAGTTTGGGGTTTTTAGTGGTCAAAAAATTAGTTCTGGGTAAAATTATTACAAGTGTACAAATTTGGGGTTTTTGGATGTCAAAAAAATAGTTCGGGGTAAATTTATCATAGATGTACCGGTTTGGGATTTTTTATGATCAAAAAAATAGTTCAGGATAAAATTATCACAAGTGTACTAGTTTTGGATTTTTCGCAGTATTAATCATTTTTTTTGGAAGCCGAATCCCCAAAAGACAAGAGCCGAAGGAAGCGGACCGGACCGAACCGAACCGGACCGGGTCGAGAGAAAACCCTGATAGGAATATTGCTATCCCGATAACCTAACACCCTCCCCACCTATTACCCCAAGTCACC